TATTCATATGTTTGAATGTATATATACAATAGATACATATATATGAGATTATAATTATATATGCCTCTTAGTCCTCTTTATTCACCCACAACGATCACTTACGGATATCCACCACGGAGCAAAGACGAGCTTTCTCCATGTCCATAATATCGCCTATCCTGTCCACCTCCCCCTCTTGAAGTCGAGGTTGTATTGTGAACAGAACCATATGAACTTCCCGAGGTCATTTCTGCTATACTAGTTCCAGCAGGAGCGGTACTGGGTGCACTACTGCCCGATGCCCCTACGAGATTAGGTAAAGATGAGCGCGACCGGAATGGTACACGCACAGCCGTCGATAGGGATTGGTAGGTATTCACAACCTCTCGGCCCCTTCCCAGCTGAGTTGAAGATGCACTTCTGAGTGTGCTGATATTAATATTGGTATTGGTATTCGATTTAGAGTCTGCTACTAAGTCAACTCCGCTAATTTGATTGTGTTGACTGTTTTGATTAAGATCCGTTTCGTCTGCTGCTGGAGTGGTGGTAATACTGGGCGCCATGGGCCGGCCGGGAGACCGGCTCTTCTTGATGCCCATGGTAAGTATGTGTATACCTTTGTATCCAAAGCAGTCCGCGCTAGACTATTTAGAATAGCTAAGATGTATACCCACTCACAGCATGTACAATAACTCAAACGCTATGGTCCCCCTATGCTTGAACGTTGGTAAATACATGTGTATTAACTATCTCCTCTAAACCTCAGATTAAACCAGGAGACGACACCATACTCCATAGACCATAGTCCATAGTAGTATTTAGATGGCAGTCGGCAGATGCAACATCTTTACGGCCAAAGGGTATATGATTGGCTGTATATTAAAACTAGTTCTTGCCCGCCTCTCTCTGGGTCATGGATGTTTACTTATAATTTTTAATACCATATTTACTGTTTAGTTTTTTAGTGTAATACGTCGGTTCGACTTCCATACTCCGATCTGCGATGCTGCGTAGCTGTAGAGTCAGCGATAGTATTAAAATTATTTAAAATTAAAGTATGTACTGATAATAAACTCAATGAGTGAATGAGCTCGTGTCGTTTTTGTTGGTTTTTATTTTGTGTTTTTTATATATGCATCTTGTGTGTAATTTGTTTCTAAAAACATATTTACAGGTACAGTCTCTTGTAGATACACTGATACACTCTCGCGGGTCAGCGATATGTTCCAATCATGTACGCGTACCTCTCCACACTACAAACAGAAGCCATTTGTACCACAGTATTGTTAAATACTGGTTTTGTCATCTGAATGCAAATATCTCAAACCTATAGTCACAGATCGCTCATGTTTGTGTTTGTTACCGTGATTGAATTCAGGCGTACATTCTGTTTGGGCCATGGCCATAATATCTACCTTAAAAAAACTATGTATTTGAATCTCATTCGCATATCTAAGCAAAAATGGGCAAATTCATCTTTGTTGAAGCATATCCTCACGACAAATGATCTTTGGTGTTCTTCGTGCACGCGACGATGCCCAAGTTGCGTTCTCGACCTCCAGCGGATGTCCGATCAAATCCGTGTACGATCGCAGCACTGAAGTTAAGTACGAATTGACATCCATGTAATACATATCTCTCGACATCTGACACATGTACAGAGACATGCTCCGAGTCCGGCATACTGGCGTACTACATGGTCTCACAAACACCTTCACAGGAATGTATGCAGATATCCTTACATACATTTTCGCTTAGCGCCGTTGGGCATCTCTTACGACACAAGCGCTCGCAATCTTTACACACAGTTGTCGGCATGGATTTAGCCACCAGCATCAGAGGCTTGGGCGGTTGTTGATCCTTACTGGGCGAGACGGCTACCGGTGGCGCTATGCCCGAGGCCTTGGCTGTACAATGTCCGAATACGATGACAAGGATCAAGCATAATATCGAAAGCTTCATTCTCTCGGATTAGAAATGCGTCACATACAGACTGTGTTTGCTATGCACGATACAAGGACGAGATTCCAGTGTATTTATAGGCCAACAGTATTTGTTATCATGTTGATGCAGTCGCGCTGTAAACCACGCATGAAAGTACCTCGATCTTTAGGATAGTCGCGTCTGGATATTGTGATCGATATCTTTCAAACTGATTGAAAAATGATTATATGTGCATTTCTGCCTTCTAGAACTATGTCAACTCCTTCAGCTCGGGCTGAGTACCAACTCGTAACTCGTTATCAAAATAAGAACGTGACAAAAAACTGCAATTTCAAAACGAACAGTTGATTACATTATCCGATTCCATCATTGTAATCGATTCCATTATCCGATCGTTATCACTGGCGTATGGCAAAAATAGTATCTAAATATGCAAATAAGTATTTCAATATACGATGGTGAGCGGCGAACGGTCGAACATAGAGTAGGAAGATCTGCGACTGCCGACTCTATGTTGCGTTTATATTTTATATATATTTTATATATATTTTTCCTGATGTAACGATATCGGCCCAACATTCAACAAGAGTTCTGTCCTTTTATAAATTTGCTATTCTTTTATAATAACATATCTTCTTTACTGGCAGATTTTCCCCTTTTTCCTTCCGCCCCTACCAAGTAGTAAATAGTCCCTACTAAATATTTACGATTTTCCTTCAGTCTTGTTTCAGACTTTCAGTGTGACAGCCGCGTGAGAAGAGGTATTTATGTAAATTAAATATAGACAATATTGTACAGAGAATCACTGAATCAGTCAATTAGAGGTGAAACCGTGAAAGTGGTCGCCAACTCGCCATCACAAATATATGCACTAGTCTAGTAATCCTGTATTTATATATACATAATACATATTTACCTATGGCTTTTTAAAGTTTTTCAATACACACCAAACAAAACGCCCATCCATTCTTGTGGCTGAATTCAATTTGAAGTTTTCCTATTACGTCGTTTTCGGCGCAGTCTTAACGGGTTCGGATTTTGCGTTCGTATTTTACGTTCGTATTTTTACACCAATGGGTATAGGATAATTTTAAAATTTCAAGAAAAAGCAAAAAAAAACCCCCCCCGGAACGAAATTTTCCGAACGAGGTCAATCTTTCGAGGGCAAAAATACCCCTCGAGAAGTTTTACGTTCGGATCGGATTACGGGATTCGGAAAATTCTCTACGTAAACTTGCTTTTACGGTTAATATACGTACTGGAATCTAGGAAATGTGTTCAACTTCACAAGCTTTGTGATTGGCCAGTAATAATATCCGAGTCGTGAATGTAATTACTGTGATCATTATTCGAAGTGCTGATTGTCACTGGTTCGTGACGCAAATGTGCTAATTCTTGTTCACTACTGCAATGTGACATCGAACACTCGTTTAGTGATATGTATACGCAATCCGGTTATTCTAGATCATTGATATTCTCCATACTGTCCAAGTCGTATGACTGTTTATACACAACACACTTCTCTTTATTGTATATATATATACATATAAATGATATAAATATGAATAATACACGTGTATTCTGTATTGCTTTTTCTCAGATCCAAAATAATGATTATCCAATTGGTGCTCTCTTGATTTTATGAGTCATATAGCTTGAAAATATTGAAATAGTACGTAAACAAATTGCACTCAATATAACGAAGTAGTCCAAAAATTGACATTGGACACTGCTTTGAGGCAGGAACGACCAAAAACTCTCCGAACGCAAAATCCGAACGCAAAATCCGAACCCGTTAAAACTGGGCCTTAGTTCCCACCTCCCCCCGCTCCAGGCCTCCAGTCCTAACAGGTATAAAAATAGTATTTTTAAAATTGCGGGGAGAGGGGGAAGCCTTGTCAGGTTGTCATCTC